GCGTATAAGGTAAAGCGAAATCGCTGCAACGATGCGAAAACAAGAAAACGCAGAAGCTTCGAAGAGGAGCTTGCAGCCGCCGCAAAAACTGCCCCCAAGAGGGTCTTTGCATACGTGAAACGGCGCCTGAGGCCTGTGGCCAATGTCCCAGTGTTAGAAGACTCCAATGGGCAGCCCCTAACCTCGAGTACGGATCGTGCATCCGCATTGGCGACGCACTTCGCCTCAGTATTTGCAAGTGACCAGGTGTCTGTAACGAGATCGACGAGTACCGCACCAGCCGAACTTAACAGCCTGGACTGCAATATTGAGGATGTGCGCAAGCTTCTAGTAAATCTTGACGGGACCAAGCCTGCTGGGCCAGATGGTATACACCCACTGATCCTCAAGTCCCTATCGACCATCATCGCGCCTTCTGTAACTGAACTGTTTAACAGGTCACTATCCACTGGACTGTTACCAGACGACTGGAAATGCTCAGTCGTAAAGCCTATACCGAAAGGTGGTAATCCAAGTAAAGTGGATAACTACCGGCCGATCTGCCTGACTGCTGTTTTGGCAAAGACGCTCGAGAAGATCGTGAAGAAGAACCTTCTGCACCTTCTCGAGTCGAAAAACCTGCTGACCTACGCACAGCATGGTTTCATGAAAGGTCGCTCGTGCATCACCAACCTACTGTTGACAAGACACGAGTGGTTACAAGCGATGAACCAAGGCCATTCAGTCGATGTCATTTACATTGACTTCAGTAAGGCTTTTGACAAGGTTAACCATGTAGTGCTCCTTGACAGGCTAAGAATGTACGGTGTTGGTGGTTCGCTACACAAATGGATCAGAAATTTCCTAGTTAATCGAAAGTGGAGAGTCTAGGTGGACGACCATCTAACGGACTGGTATTCATCGAGCAGAGGCGTGCCCCAAGGCACTGTACTGGACCGATTTTGTTTCAGATCCATGTAAACGATGTGGCTAAGCTACTCCAATCACCATGTGCGTTGTTCGCAGATGACCTGAAGGTGTGGAGAGTAATCCGCACACTCAATGATTGTGATTTACTTCAGCAGAATCTCGACAACCTCTCAACATGGTCTACAGAGGTTAACCTTCCCATCAACCCTGCTAAGTCGCAATTCATGAGGTTGGGTAAATGCGAGCACAGCCGAACGTACACAGTGGCTGATCAACCGTTGCATCCAGCGTCTTTCATGCGCGACCTCGGTGTGCTTTCACGCTGCGACCTAAAGTCCATTAACAATACGAATAGGCTGTACCAAAACAGCCTTCGGATGCTTTGGGCGCTCAGGCGCAGCTTCAGCACTTGGTCCGAAGAGATTGCCACTCGCCTCTTCGTCTCGATAATACGACCAATTCTAGAGTACGGCTCTCCCGCGTATTGTCCCATCACGCTGGGCGAGGTAGAAAAGCTTGAGCGGGTGCAGCATGTAGCCACTAGGCTGATTCCCAACTTACGAGGTATACCATATGAAGACCGATGCATATCGTCGGCTGAGGATTGACCTAATCATGACGCACCGGATATTACATCTGAGTGATTACCCAATGTTGAGACAACTGCTTCATCTGCGCACACCAAGCGGCACGGGAGGACACCGGTACAAACTTATCGTACCGCAGTTGAAGCGGGTAGCTCACCATCTCTGTTTCGAACGAAGAGTGGTGAATACGTGGAACAACCTGCCGCAGCAGGTAATAGAGGCGAATTCAGTGGCCGAATTTAAGAAGCTTATAGACAAACATTTTGCAGAGGCAAAATATAAAGGGCGGAACGTTAATTAATACGTTGATGTCCAAGAGCGACAATTGATGAGCTACACAGAGTATGCTCTCCTCGCTGCTTCTAATCATCATCATCATCATCAATAGCAGTACATCAGCCATTTGAACTGATGCTTCGCTGCCATAAAACCATGAGGGCCTGTGAAATAAAGATTAATAAGAGGGAGAGAAAGGGGACTTACCTGAAAACCTTAATGTCCTAAGCAAACATTCAGGGACAAGGCGCCTACACCTTGTGTAGACAACATACCGTCACAAACAGCTGGCTATCGTGCAAAGATAAGGCGGCATCGGCGAGACAGCTTCATTGCGGCTTTTACTGCCACGCGTCATAATCAGCCATTACCTCGCAGATAACTCAGCACCAAACACACGTTAAACAGGCAATCCGATTAGGAGACGGCAGCAGACGCGCCACTGGTGTCTACTGCGAGCCAAGCACAAGCCGAGTCATGTGTACTCTAGCCCGGAAGGCGAGACGGACCAACGGCACTCAGTTTGGTGGTCAGTGACTTCATTTCCCGATGTCAAGTCAACTTCTGTCCACCTCGAGCCTTGCGCCACCCTGCACCTGGCAGACTAAACAAGGCCCTCCTAGGTAAGCGGTGACCAGGCATACGTAGCACGTGCCCAAGCCAACGCAACTTATTCAGTGCTATCTGTTGTTCTAGGGAGCTAGCATGATCATCACCACCTAGTACTCGTCTACGCACATCATCGTTGCGGACACCCTCGTGCCATCCGACACCAGCAATGCTTCGCAGACAACGATGATCAAAGACTTGAAGGCGCCTCAGATCTTCAGACCGAAGGGGCCAAGTCTCACTACCATACAGCAGAACGGCCCTCACTGTGGCCTTGTATACACGGCCTTTCAGACGGAGGGAAACTCCCTTCTGTCGCAAAAGATGTCACAGGTTCAATAAGGTAGCTATGGCTTTTGCAATGTGTGAGCTGACGTCAGTTTCTATGCGCCCAGCATTGCTGATTCAGCTGCCAAGATAAGTGAAATGATCAACTTCCTCGAGTTTATTGTTAGCAAGCGTCAAGGGGTCTTCAAGTGGCTGGTGGTCCTGCAGCAACACTTTGCACTTTGAAGGTGTGAAGTGCATACCAAATAATGGAACCACTCTGGATAGGCTATTCAGGGTTTATTGTGCCGCCTCAACATTGTCGAAAAGCAAGACGATATCGTCCGCATAATCTAGATCAACTAACCTTTCACCAGGCAGCACTTCTGCGCCTACATCGTGAGATTCCGCAAGGGAACACTCCATGATAGAATCCACGACGAAATTGAAAAAAAGGGGGAAATCGAACAACCCTGACGAACGCCACTTGTGGTCGGAAACCTATCCGATAGGACACCATAGACCCTGACGCGGCCTATAGTGCTCGAGTATAGGGCACGAAGAATGTTCATATATTTCGTGGGAACACATTTCCGCGAAAGTAATTCGTAAAGAATCGATTGGATCAAACGCACTCTTGAAATCGAGGAACACAGCTATCGTCGGTCTGCGTGGCGCTGCTTTAGTACCTGCCGCAAAGTGAATATATGGTCTGTACAACCACGTCCTGGGCGGAAACCGGCCTGCTCTTCCCTAATCCGAGATTCCCGTTCCGCAGTGAGGCGACGAACAATAATCGAGGCCAGTAATTTTGTCACAACTGGCGTTAGACTAATACCCCTGTGGTTCGCACAGTCTGTGCGACTGCCCTTCTTGTATATTGCCAGTATAATCGATTCGCTCCAATTAGCCGGCACACTCTCTTCGTTCCAGATACGTTTGAATAGGGAGGTCAGTGCTTTGCAGAGGACCTCACCTCCATCCTTAAATAGTGCAGGTGCGAGGGAATTTGGGCCAGCGGCACGAAAACGATTGAGGGCTGTGATCGCGTTTCAGACCTCGGCCTGCGACGGAGGCTCTAAACTAACCGCCCATGGCTCGTCCTGCATCACCTGAGTAGGAAGAGGTCGGGAAGCAGGGGGCCAGCTGAACTGATCTTGAAAGTGTTCCGCCTAATGAGTCATACGGCGCTCCTTATTGTGTATCAGCGTACTTGCGCTGTCTCTGATTGTCTCACTTACGCCTGATTTTCTGGGACCAGTGGCGCGGATTACCTGGAGGAGCTTCCGGTAATCGCCTACTGCTCCTGCCTCCTCCATTTCTTGAGCTCGACTGGTCCACTAGACTTCTCTGTCAGCCCGTAGGCTCCGCTTTAGTTCACGCCTAATAGCCCGTCTGGTCACATTGTGTTCAGAGCCAACCGGGAGGTGTTTTCTAGATTCCAACAGGTTCACCGACCTCTCGGATATCCAGTGACTGGTGCGGTGACGATAGATAGTGCCACAAGCAGATGCTCCTGCGTCGTACATGGCGGATGAGGACAAGGCAGACGTCTTATCCACTCAGAGGATAGCCAATATCATGCCACTGTAGTTGATACTGGCCACCAGTAGTATTGCTAGAACTTATGGTTACTGGAACGTTGCACAAAACAAAAAAGAAATTACTCACGTGAGTAGAAGACGCCAAATGTATACGGTAATCTTGTACTATATTTCGTCTCGAAGCGAGCGTTGAGCTTCTATACCGAACACAACTCGAATGGAGGCATCAACTTGTACTAAAGTTGAGTCGCTAAACCGCTTTCAATCTTCTAAATGCGTTTTTGATAATGGTGAGATGAAGAGCATAAAATATTGGAGTTTGGAGTAAAAATCATGTGTCTAGAACTTTTGCTTTCAAGTAACTCTAAAACCACGTTGAAGAATAAGTCGGCAAAGCCTTCGTTATGGACGGAAACGGAAGCTGGATGTAAGGAGGAAGCAATTGTTGGTATAGGCCATCCCAGCTACATAGCTGGCTAGGTGGTTTACGAGTGACAATTTCCCTGGGCGGCAGTTGCTGGAGGATCTGCTCTACGTCCGTGTCAGTGATGGCGTTAGTAAGGAATGCATTGACAATACCTGCAATTATAGATAACACACTTGTAAGCAACTCAAACAATCCAAGCATCTCCGGAGATGTAGTGTGGGCGCAATGCCTTCATGGAATTAGAAATAATGACACATTAATAACTTGCAGAGGGCATCAGACATGCGTTTTAGCTGTGAGCTACCAGAAAACTTCCAGCGGCCGAAAGAAAATAGAGTAATGATGACAAAAACCCGTAGACGCAGCAAGGCCGTGACTTACTTTGACAATGACTTTATCCGATGAAGAACAGCCAGAAAAGTCAAAATCAAGTATTTCGAAAGCCTCCATTGTTTTAACATTACACTCAGCAACCACACCATCTTCCTCTAGCCTGGAAAATAAACAGCACTAGCAAGATTGAGTAAGCCACCTACAGTAAGTCCAATGTGCTTCCATGGTCCTTGTATGTGAGTAGCAAGGAAGTCGCTGAAAGTTGATTGGAAGTTCCGAAAATTGAAAAGCAGTCCTCGCGTATAGACAGTGATTATAAAACACTCACAATAAGAACGCTGAGGTTGCTCTTGAAAGACACAACTTCCTTCGAGATGCGATAATCACGAAACAGCTCAGCTTGAAGGAATGCGTTGCCTTGTATACACTTGGCATCTTCCACGGTTATCTTCAGCCCATTTGGAGTGGCGAAAACAGTAGCCAGCTAAGGAGAAGAAGCAGTGCTCCACCCAATTGAAATTCAAAGAAACAGCATACATCTCTGAATTGAACCGCTTTGAGAACGTTTATTAGGACTTTTGCATTGTCCATGGCAAGGGTAATAAGAGCGTCACGTGAACCCATCGTGGGGTATCTGTTAACAGGCACAAAGACATGATGTGAGGGCGTGGGCAAAAACAAAAGTGCCGCGTTTATGCAAACGTAGGGAAATCACATGCGCACTAGAGAATGCTTCTGCCAATTGAATGGATTCCTGCGGGAAACAGTGTTGTAGTGGTTATTGACAGCACTATATCAGATATCGCTTAGATCACACAAGTGGGTTTTCCTCAATGCTGATGTCCAGATGGATGTCCCTCAACATTATGATTTGTTCGTCGAAGTTAAACGCCAACGGCCTATCGATCAGAGTACGAGGCTCTTCATCTCTGGAATATCCCGTGACGTTGCATCGCTAAGTCCGGTGTACGCTAGTGCCAACTCATCGGTCGGCAAGTATCTATCAGAAAATTTCTCGAGTCTTCCGAACTGCTTCGTCTTCTACAGCGACAAGCGAAGACATGCCTCATCATATATTAACCAACGACCAGCCCGTCTTCGCGAAAGACCGCAGGCTGACCCCATGCATACGCAAAATTGATCGCGCAGAATTCGAGCAAGTGCAAGAGCTTCGGATCGTTCGATCAATGAGTAAGCCTTGTTCAACGCCCCTTCCAATGGTGCGGAACAAGTTAGGGGACTAGTGACCATGTGGGGGTCAACGTGCGCTCAACTACGTGTCAGTTCGTTTTCGAGGATACATCATCAGCCTAAGCCCAACACATTTAGATAGATGACAGAACAGATTAAAGCAGGTATTAAGATTAGAGTAGGAAGTAGACATGGCAGCCGTGTCTCGACTGGTTCACGTGATTGACTATGAGACAACTGGCCAGAAGAGAGCTAGCGTTCTCACAAATCGCTTGTGCACACATAAATGAGGGCTGTGAAGACGGATGGCGATCGCCTCTGCCACTGCAAATAAGCGGCATTTCATCAGTTTGGATCGGACCCCTTACGTGATAGATCGGACGGAAGGCCTTTGTGATAACGATCGGGTGATTAGTATCGGCCAGAGTGAGAGCTTACGGCAAGCTGTCGCCACCCTTCAATATCTCCAGCGGTGTGAGACAAGGACGCCGGTTGTCACCTTTCCTCTTCAACTTCGCTATTGACGAAGTCATGGAGAGCGCATTTACAGGACATGACTTGGAAGGTGTGGATCTGCTCCCAAGAGAACGACTTTTTGACTTAGAATATGCAGACGACAATGCCCTCATCTATGACAGCTCCCAGACGTGCCAAGCCGCGCTGGACAGATTAGCACTGGCTGTCAGCCGTTTCGGGCTTTGCTTTGCACCATCGAAATGCAAAGCGTTCCTCCAAGATTGGCAGAGATCGCCTCCTGCGCTGACCCTTGGTGGGTATCAGCTAGAAGTCGATCAAAAATTCAATTACCTGGGAAGTTGTATCAGAGCCCTTGGGATCGAAGACGAGATCACGAACCGTATAGCAAAAGCTCGAAGTGCTTTAATAACATTCGCCACCTATGGCGGCGGTACGACATTACTCTTGCCCTGAAGGGTAGAGTGCACAATGCAGTGGCACGTTGGACCTTACTGTATGGTTGCGAAACCTGGGCCCTTAGATCGGCGGACATAAAGAGGCTAGTTACGTTTGAATATCGGTGCCTTCGCAGTTTGGCTCACGTCTGGTGGGAACACCGCGTGAGTAACGAGCGTGTTCGATGACTTGTTTACGGCAGAAAAAGGAACTGAACCGCTCAGCACCGTCCTTTCACGCATTAGGCTCCGTTGGCTGGGCCACGTGTTGCGCATGTCAGCACATCGACTTCCACGAAGGGCGTTGTTTGCTCGCCGGGGGTGTGGATGGAAGAAGAGGAGGGTGGCCAAGCGATGATTTGGTCAAGAGGAATGAAGGCCCACTTCTGAGCTGGCCTCGGTTGGAGCGTCACGGCTTCTTGGTTGGAGTGCAAAAGACGATGAACACCTTTGGCTGGATACACTTGCTGACATGGCAAGGAGCCGAACTCAGTGGCGTTCCTGCTGTGAGTTTCTTTGTCCCTCCTCATCCCTTTTAGCCTTCCCCTCCATCTACGATTTCATTTCGTAGCGTAAAACATAATAAATTTTCTGTTTGCCTAATAGCCGGCTGGTAGTTTACCGGAACGATGCCCATCCATTGCTGGTAGCTCAGCTGATATGCAAATGTTGTATTTATTTTCCTTTTCCTTTATGTATTGCGGCTCAGTAGTTGAGGTGTTTCCAACCTCTAGCTGACGTGTATAATGAGGATGATAATGATGATCGGCCAGATTTGCGACAATAGCAGTGGTGTAAGTTTTGTCTACTCCCCGAGTAGATTACTCTAGGTGATGCTCTCGTACACGTTCGGCTAAATGTCTTGTGGTGCAGCCCACGTAGCTTGTCCCACAGGAAGAAGTAAATTGATACACACATAGGAGGGATAATAGGACTACGTTGTGGCACAATAGCCGGCTGTTAGCTTTCCGGAATGATGTCCATGCGTTACTGGTGACTCAGCTGGCGTGCCTCTGTTTCATTTTTTCTAAGCTTTTGTATTGCGGCACAACAGCTCAGGTGTTTTCCACCTGCAGCTAACGTGTACAATGATGAAGATGATGGCAGCATCCACAGACAGTTTATCCTTCAGTCGTCGAGTTAACACAGGTGTGGAAGTGAATAAAATTCGTAGCTGCCCTGCGAAATAGGTGTTCTTGATAGCACTTCAGGGTCTTCTGCTAATAAGTGTGTCGGTACTATCGCCTGTGAAATACAATGATAGAAGATATCCTTTTACACTGAAGGATTTTAACACCTCGCGGGTCAGACAGCATGTTTATGTCACCGAATGACTCGGAGTGGCCATTGTTAAAAAATGACTTCTTTATTTTTACAACTCCTGTGTAATCGTATCTTCCGAGCCAATTTTCACTTCTCTTTGGGTAAGGCAGCGGATTAGGTTTTAATCTTATTGTTGTGAGACAAAACCGTAAAAGTGGGTAATACTGACCAGCCCAGGTTGTTTTTCTATACATTTATGTTGTGAAGTTCTGTCTGGTCGGCGCGACATTTGTATGTCTAGGAAAGATATATATTCATCCGACCCCAGTTGTACGCTGAAGTTAATGTTTTCGTGGCAATTCAATCTGGCTTCCTGATTCGTCCGCCACGCACATGATGTCGTCGACATATCAAGTATAAAGTAGCAGTTGTTCAATCATTTCATTTAGAGCCATTTTCCAGTTTAGCCATGAAAACGTCGGTGAACAGGAGATGCAGAGGTGAACCCATGGCTAGTGCATCTTTCCGTCTATATACATACCTAGCGGAACGGAACTGAACATTGTGAGTGCATTGGTAAAGCAACGTCCTTAAGTCACCCAATGTTAGGCCAACGCGCTTGCATTTGCTCGCAATGTATTCGCCTAAATAATCAATTGTCTCCTTAACGGGGATATTTGCAAACAAAGAAGTGACAAGTGAGAACAGCTGTTTGTGCATCACATTTAAGTTTCTTAAAGCGTCCAAAAATTCAAACGAGTCTCTCGTCTCGCCGGCTCAAGCAGCTCAGCCAGCGATTTTGGCAATGCATGTACGGAGAGTAGCTCATGTCCAGAATTGGTGGTAAAGGTGCCCCGACTTTATGTAGTTTGGGCAACCCATATAGCCGCGGAACCACTGCGATTGTCGCAAATCTGGCCGATACTAATCACCTGGTGGTTATCACAAAGGCCTTCCACCGGATCTATCACGTAAGAGGTCCGATCCAAACTGATGAAATGCCGCATATTTGCAGTGGCAGAGGCGATCGCCATCCATCTTCACAACCCTCATCTATGTGTGCACAAACAATTTGTGAGGACGCGGTCTCTTCTGGTTAGTTGTCGCACAGTCAAACTGGTGAATTAGTCGAAACACGGCTGCCACGTCCATCTTCTACTCTAATTCGGATAAGTGCTTTAGTTTGTTCTACGTCATCTATCTAAATGTGTCCGCCTGATGATGAATCATCGAAAACGAGCTTGTTTGCTATACTGACTTTGCATAAGTAACACGGGAATTACTCACCATTTGAAACGTGTTAGTTCCTGATCGATATGCCATTCCGTATATCCAGGGTATCACGGCCGATCCTCGCGGTCCCAGCGTGGAGCAATTTTGGTGCAGACTTATCAGTACAGCCTGGACTCCTAGAAGGACATACCCAAGACCACTGTCACTTGGACTCGGATTGCGCAACGCTGCATAAACGTTTTAACGCTTTATCATATGCGTTGGAATTAAATTCAGCTTCGTCCACCTGTACATCGACGATATTTCAGTGGCTCAATACATCAGAAAAGAAAATACATAGGTACTTACAAATCTTGTTCGAACAGTTGAAAGAGCATGTAACTGTTAATCTCGACAAGTACAATCTCATGCAGTCACACAGTTTAGAAAGCATACGACTTATGCAGGATAGGGTTCAGGCAATCCGGGACTTTCTTCGAGCAACGACGCTATCCGATATTCGACGTTTCAACAGCATGGTGAACTACTATCGTTGATTGTTATGCTGCGCCGAGCTAATGCAACCGCTCACGGACCTGTGTGGGCGCATTAATATCATCAGCATTGTTAACAACAGCACATCAACCATTTGAAATGCTGATGTACAACCATAAGGACCGATGGAAGGTGAAATAATAAGTGGAAGAGAAGGGGGACCTAGAGTAACACTTTGATGTCCTAAAATAATATTCAGGGTCAAGTCGTCTACAGCTTGTGTCAACAAGATTCCGTGACAAACAGCTGACTATTGTGTAAAGACAAAGCAGCACCGGTGAGACAGTTTCCTTGCGACTTTCTCTGCCCCGCGCAATAATCAGCTATTACCCAGCAGATAATTCAACTCTAAGCACACATTGAACAGGCAGTCGGACCAGGAGAATACAGCAAACGCGCCACTGGCTCAGACTGCGATCCATGTGCAGTAAGGTCTCGAGCCAAGCACAAGGCGGGTTGCGTAAACTCCAAGCTGGAAGGCGACGGATAAGTGACACCAAGTT